GGAGGGGTGTTGGGGGGTGTTGGGGGGTGTTGGGGGTTATAGGGGGTTGTAGGTGGTAAAGGGGGGGGATGAGGGCGTTAGCTGTCTCTTATACACATCTAGATGTGTATAAGAGACAGGTTGGGGGGGTGTTCAGGGGGGCTATGGGGGTGTTGATGGGGTTATTTGGGGTTCTGGACCCAAAACCGCCGACCAGTCCGACGGTTGCCTGGTCGGCCCCCGAGCAATCCAGGGGTGCTGACCGTCGGCATGACTACTCTGTCCACAGGCCTTTTCCCGGGGTAGATGCAAGGTGGGCACTGGGCTTGGGTATAAATGGAATTCCCATCTTTAAAAAGGGTACAGATGCGATTTTCCCAAAAGAAAAAGGGCGGAATTTTTTGCATGCCCACGGTACCCCGGGTGGGCGTCCAGCTGGGCAGCGTGAATGGGTGCCTAGCCAGGTGCCCCTGGTGACCTAGTTTTACGCCACTCACTTTTCTGTTTTGCTTTTTTTCCTGTTTCACCTTTTCTCATGAGACTGTCCCACCCAGGTTCCCTCAATATTCCCCTGATGCATCCACATTCCCTACAACCCTCCCTTATACCAGCCATTGAAGGGCCAATCCTCTGTCATAAGTCACTGTATTCACAGGCGCTGATGCTACACGGCACACTGTACAGCCCAATTGAAGCTCAGACAGGATGAGCCCTGTTGCTCTGGGCACTTGGGACACTAGACGATATCATTATTTCTACGGCCGCCCCGCCAACTGACACAGGCCACCGCAGGCAGTGTCTAATGGTCCAGGCCAAAGTGTAACCTACGACAGCCATATGTCATACTCCAGACCCCACCCTAGCTCAGGCAGGATGTTTCCAAGGGCACTGATTGTTCTTTTGTACTCAGTCATTCTTTCACTTCGCGCAGTTGTTCTATTCAATCCTTCTATCTGTGATTCTGTCATCAGCCCTCCCCTCAGTGATGCTATTATTAGTCTTCTTCATCAGTCTGTCTATCAGTTTTTCCTTCTTTTTGGGATTTGTGGGGTGCAAGCACCCCATGCGGTGCGGTCTGTCCGCCCGATGATGCACTTGGCCTTGGAACCTTTCGGGCTACTGACCTAAAGATAGCAGCGGCCCTCTCTCTCTCCCTCTCTCTCTCTCTCTCTCTCTCTCTCTCTCTCCCCCCCCCCCCCCCCCCCCCCCCCCCCCCCCCCCCCCCCCCCCCCCCCCCCCCCCCCCCCCCTCTCCCCCCCCCCCCCCCCCCCCCCCCCCCCCCCCCCCCCCCCCCCCCCCCCCCCCCCCCCCCCCCCCCCCCCCCCCCGCTCCCCCCCTCTCTCTCTCTCTCTCTCTCTCTCTCTCTCTCTCTCTCTCTCTCCCCCCCCCCCTCCCCCCTCCCTCTTTCTCTCTCGCCCCCTCTTCCTCTTTTGCCTGCACTCACTTTTACATTCTCCTCCCTCTTTTTAAGCCACTAGTACCTCCACGCCTCTTTCTCTGCATGGTTGATTTTACTCGCCCTTCAAATACCGAAACCTCACCAAGCCATGGCACACTGGGTGCTACATCCAGGAGGCACGCAGTGTTGGCCCGTCTGGGAGTGAGTGTTAAGCATTCTATAGGGAATGCTGATGGAGAGCTGTATGACGGGAAACTGTCACGTATGGTTCTGAGGGCGGAGACTCACCTCTGACCCCTACACATTTTAGGTTTTGCTGTAACTGAAGCTATTGCTTTATTTGCGTTAATGATGGCTTTATTAGTTTTATGGGTGACGGCGACACTAGCAAATGAATTGCTCCTTTGCACTGTTTGTACTCTCAGGCGTGGTCGTGAGGCGACGGCGCAGTAGGCCGCAGCGAGATGGACATGACTTATATTATTTACCCAACCTCTGAAGGAAACTAAGACACATTTGAATTTGTCAGTAGGATCCTCAGAGACTTTGGGAGGAGCTACTACAAATTGATAAAAAAAGAAAGTAAAAGACCATTGACTTAGAGATGAGTACACGCAAGATAGACACCTTCGTTTACTGACTCAATTCCTAATGGAATAGCACGTGCTACATTGCAAGCACTACCGTCTTCACCCGAATGGAATGCGCAGTCATTATAGCTGCATTTGGTGCAATGCTCAGTCTAGATACAGTGATAATGACTGGGCGTTATATTCTGGGTGAAGACGGTAGCTTGAGCATCATAATTGCTTGAGCGACAAGATCCTTTAAATCCCACTCAAACAGGAGAGGACCAAGAATCCGTTATGTTAATTATAGTGTTCCTTAAAAGTTGATTGAATATGAGCAATACCGTGTTTTGTTGGCATGGTCCTTCGGGACGTCCGTTAAAATTGGAACGATATAGAGAAGATTAGCATGTCCCCTGCGCAAGGATGAAACACATAAATCAAGAAATGGTATTTTCAACTATTTTGTTTGGGCTTTTTTTTTTTGTATAATGTTATTTGACTTTGCATTGTTTGCAAGTATGATAAGATGCATAACTATGAGCCAGAAAAAATGACAACTCACCCATGGTTCTGTGCATGCTTTCTTTCATCTGTTTTGTGTTTTTGTTTGGGTTTCCCACTCAAGCTCCAGTCTCCCACTTCATGGTCGCAAGTCCATTTACCATTTATGATGGGATATATGGCTCTACATTATTTTTAGCTACTCGATTCCATGGCTTTCACGTCATCATAGGAACCATTTTTCTTATACTCTGTTGTGCTCGGCAGTACATGGGTCATTTTACTCGTCGACACTATTTCGGGTTTGAAGCTGCCGCTTGGTATTGGCATTTTGTTGATGTGGTTTGATTATTTCCGTACTTGTGGCACATCGTGTGCGCGCATTGCGCATTTGCACACATCGCACGTGCACATGGTGCACCGCCGCAAGGGGGGGAAATGGGGTCCGAAAAAAAGAAGTTGAGGGGTCTGAACCGAAGTTCCCCCACCCTGCCAACATTCAGATATGAGTCGGGAAAAAGAAAATCACGGCCGCTCTTAACAGCTGAAAAAAAAAAAAAGAGAATGAGGATACGTTGTGGGCCTTAGGTGCCTCCAGAATACGTGCTGAGGGCGGGTTGTACCTCCCCGGCGCCAGAATCCGTCACGTAAGGGCCTCACACCACTCACCAAATATGTAAAATGAATCTTCAGCAAGAGCATGGAGAGATACACCTCCATTAGTTTTGCATGTGGGCGACTGGCATCTGTCAGAATCTGGGCCCGTTGTATTTCTGGCACATGCCAGGCACCCACGTACCAATTGAATGGAGGTGTATCTTTGCATGTTCTAGCTGAAGATTCATTTTGCATATCTGGTGAGTGAGGGAATCTGTTGAATGGTACATAGTGCATCACCTGGGTCGAATCCTTGAGAAATGAACATTGGGCCTCACTCCACTACCCTCCATATGTTTGACACCTCTTTTTCTTTCGTTTTGGCCGGGCGGGGGGGGTCAAAACACTTGTCTCTCTCAGGGTGTGCAGGGGAAATTGCGAACCACAGTCCCCAAGAGTGAGAAGTACCTGGCGTGGCAGCAAGAACTTACCAGGTATGATACCTTTTCCTGCTCTCACCAGAAGATTCTTTGTTCTGTCTGCGCCTCTCCTTCCCCTTTCCCTACTCCAACGTCTGCTCATTGAGGATTTTCCTTCAACAGGTAGCTTGTGTGTACAAGCAAAGAGGAAATGGTTAAAGAAATGCATACCGTCTTCACCCATATAGAATGCCCAGTCATTGTAGCGGTGTCAAGAATGAAAGTTGCCCCAAATTCAGCTAATAATGACCGTTCATTCTGTTTTTGATGCGTATCATCCTTGCTTAGGGGCCATGCTAAGCTTCTATGTATCATTCCAATTTTGATTGATGTCCCCAAGGACAATGATCGTTCGTTCCATTCGGGGAAAGCCGGTAGTTCTAGTTACGGAGTAGCAATAAGACGTGCACGGGTATGGAGGGACGACGTTCTAAGATTAGAAAAAACACTGTGAACTGAGAGTCAGGTATCATAACCTTAGTACCTTATGCAGCAACGGGACCATTCCAAGCGGTGGTTAAGAAGTTACTTCGACGAGGTAATAGTATTTGGCCTGAAGAGATCCTTTTCTTTTAAATTCCAAGTTTGCCTATTGAAATAACTCATGCGCTGCCACACTACAGCCCTGGTACCGTGTTCCATTTTCTTTGTACCTTAGGGCCAAAGTAGACCTTTCTGGTAGGTACTGTACATATTAAAATAGAAATCTGATAGAATAAGACCGGTAAGAGCAGTAGAGGGTCCTAGAAGTAGGAGTCGCCATGTGTCCAGTCCTGGTCCTATCCCAGCTGAGTCCCAGGACAAGGCCACGGCAGCCTGAATTTTGGTCTGCCACAGCAGGGCCTGGCTGCGGAGTCAGGGGTCACGTGGGAGGCAGAGGAACAGGCACAAAAGGGAGGCCAACGTCAGGAACCTCCTCTTCGGTTCAGTCAGGTGCAAAAGTGCTGCTGCATTGCTGGGCACCAAGATCTTGGAACGGGAACACGGCCGGGAGAGTAGTCAACAGTGCTGGGCACCAAAGCTGTGACCTTGCATAGATGAGGTAGAGAGAGGAAGAGCATCAAGGGCATTCAGACAGTGATTGCGCGCGCGCGCGCGCGTGAGAGAGAGAGAGAGAGAGAGAGAGAGAGAGAGAGAGAGAG